TTTAAATTTGAAAACTACAATAATCAAAAGGAGGCCTCACAGATGCATGGGCTCAACAGCAGAATAGAAAAGTCAAAAAAACATAATGAACATGAAAAAAGAACAATAGAAATTACTCAGTCTGAACAACAGGGAGTAAATAAACTGGGAACAAATATGAGCAGAGGCTCAACAACCTGGTGAAGTGTCACAAAAGCTCCAACATTTGCATCAAGAGTCCTAGAAGCAGAGGACAGAACTGAAAAACTACTCAAGAAATGACTGAAATTTCCCCAAATTTGGCAATAGTCATAAGCCTACATATTCATGAAACTCAATGACTTCAAAATAGTATAAACTCAAAGAAATCCACACCAAGATGCATCATAACTCAACTAAAAAAAAACAAAAGACAAAGAAGTTCCTTCAATGCATGAGGCAGAAATGCCACCTCACCCATAGAGGGAAAACCCACTCAGATGACAATGGGATTCTTGTCATAAACCATGAAGATAGGAGAAAAGTAGCACATTTTTCAAGTGCTGGGAAAAGAAAAAACTGTCAATCCTGAATTCTAGAACTGGTAAAATTATCTTTCAGGAATGATAGAAAAATAAAACATTATCGGGTGAAAAAATAGTAAGAGGATTTATCACAAGCAGACCCCCATAAATGAATAGCCACTGGAAGTTCTTGCCCGAGGAAGATAATAATAAAGGAGAAATCTTGGAACATCAACAAGGAAGAGGGGAGATAGGGAAGAGTGAATAGGTGGACTCTAGCACAGTGCAGAGGACAGAAAGTCACAACCACCCAATGAGCACTCAGCTCACATTTTGTTCAAATCTGGGGGCAATAAAAACAAACATGCAAGTGTCGCAGGTTCGATTCCCAGTCAGGGTACATGCCTGGGTTGCAGGCCATGACCCCCAGCAACCGCATATTAATGTCTCTCTCTCTCTCTCCCTCCCTCCCTCTCTCTCTCTCTCTCTCTCTCTCACTCTCTCTCTCTCTCTCTCTCTCTCTCTCTCTCTCTCCCCCTTCCCTCTCTAAAAAATAAATAAATAAAATCTTAAAAAAAAACATACACACACATTGTCATCCAACAATGTTTGTGAATATCTTGTTAATCTACCCACATCTTAAGAACTACAAATAAAGTTTTACTTTAATTCCCAGAGCTCATGTAAAGACAAGAAATTTCTGAATTCCATAAAGAACTGTGGGACCCTTGGAGCAATTAAGACAGCCCAGAAGAGCCATGTTTTAGGAGTAAGGCCAAACTAGCCCTAGAATATGCCTAAATACTGATTTTTTCTTAAAGGATAAGCTGAACCACAAAGTGATTTGACTGACTTCCAAAACAGAGTTACATACTGTTAAAGAAAGGAAGCAGAGTCTGTTACTCAACAGTGTCACTTGCCTAATGCCCGACAGAGTAAACCACAAACAGTCCTACGTTCAGGTGGAAATGTAGAAGTGGGTGCCACCCTCCCAGGTTAGAGGGGGCAGTGGAGGGGCCCATGGTGTCCCTGTCTAATACACCCACCCTGCTCCCCACAGACACTGGGAGGGCTGTGGTGGCAGAAGGCAGAGTGGACTTCACCAAGTGCCAACTCCTGCCACAGCTGCTGTGCTGGATGCATGGGTTTACTAGACATCCTTTGGTCATTTCTAGACAGCTATGGGTCTGGTAACTGAGAAGCAGTTCTAAATCCAGGTTCATGTTCACAGTTTTCCCAGGGATAAAATCACCTCCTTCTTTCACAGCAGAGTCCAAAGGGACCCTCAGCATCTGGACATCAAGCAGAATCTTGTATTTGTCCACAGCATGGATGACTTCTTGTGAGCTGGACCTGATGAGTAGCGGGTGGCAAGGGCTCTGGTTGCTGTGGTTGGCACTGCAGGTGGAGGGAAGAAAGGAGAAACTGAAAAGATTCAGGGCCTGTCAAAGCTGTGAGGCTATAGAGGTCTCATTCTCTGTGTCCTACCAGGACATGCCCTGAATAGTAAAGTACATACCATTGTACCTGGCCACGCCAAACACTATGAATTAGGTACAACTCTGGGTGTGCATCTTTGGATTGTGGAAGCAGCATATGTCCAGCATTTGAGAAAGCAGATTTTTCACTTAGTGGGAGAGTAAGAAGGCTGTGGGTGTGAATGCAGCCCAGTTCCAGAACCTGCAGCTGTGGTCACGTGACCATCCAGGCCCCATGCCTGGTGCACTGGGAGGCTGTGTGCATTCTCTGCCTGAGCCCTCTGGGCTCATGTCCTCACATCACCTGCAAGAAAGAGATAGACCCCATTTAGAAAGCTGCTTCTGATGTGCCGCTGGGTCCCAACAGCAACTCAGTGACTGACTAGTAGACATCAAGGGTCTTTGCATCTGAAACCACCCATGAGGAGGGGATTGCCATTCCCACCATGTCACGAGGTTGCAGCCCATCGTGAGATGACAGGTGTGAGCCTGAGGCCATGAACAGAGGTTCCAGGGGTTGAAGGTAAGTCACACAAAGTGGTGGATTAGATGTATGTGACACACACACACACACACACCCCTACCTGTCACAGGGACGCCTCTCCTTCACCTGTCCTCTAGTGGGTCATGTCTGGGTGGTGTGATGCTTTCTGCATGGTGATGCTCCACAGGCCCACTTGGGGACATTGAGAAAAAAATGCATTCTGTGGAGGCAGAGTGTGTGGGGATCTGCTGAGACTCAGATCAGGCTGAAATCTCCAGAGCTTACTGACTCCTCTGGCCCCTCCTACAGGGAGGAGCTACTTCCCTTCCTGCCAGGCCACTGATGAGGAACCCATGACCTGTCTGTCACACAGAGCCAGAGCCCCATAACACCCTATTGGTTATTCTGTGTTGCAGTGAATTTATAGGTCTGCACACTGGTGACCATGGCAGGAAGCACCACGACCCCAACCCTCACTGTCCTTCTCTATCTCGGTGAGTTTGGGGAAAAAAAATGAGGGTTGGGCCCCCTCCCCTCCCAGGTCTTGGTCCAAGAGACAGCAGGACTCAGGAGACTCAGTATGGACAGAACCATGGGGGTAGGAGAGGTGGCTCAGCCCCAGATCTGACCCCAGCACTCAGGGGCCCAGACCAGGCCTGGAGCTTCTGCATGTGGGTTAAGGATAATCTCACAGGGACTCTCTTCCAGGGCTGTGTTGGAGCTGGTGGGATCAGGTCCAAGCAGGTGAGTCCTCCCTCAGAGCTCCTGCTTCAGCACAATGGGTCCCCTTAGCTGCTAGGAATACTGGTTTTGGAAATGGTCCAATCTGAGAGGGATCTTAGAGTGACAGCTGGGGAAACTGAGGGCACAAGAAACCCCTGAACCTGCAGCTCTGATTCCTTTCCAGGAGTTCCCCCCAAACCCTCCATCTGGGCTGACCCAGGTCCCATCGTCAAAAAGGGGAGCCCTGTGGCCATCTGGTGTCAGGGGTCTCTGCAGGCAGAAGGCTACAGTCTGTATAAAGACAGGTACTCTCAGCCCTTGGATACGAGCATCCCAGAGACCTCCAGCAACAAGATCAGCTTCCTCATTCAGTCCATGAGCTCACAGTACGCAGGGTTGTACCAGTGTGCATACAGCACTGGACGCATGCTGTCTGAGAGGAGTGAGCCCCTGCTCCTGGTGGTGACAGGTAAGGGGGAACCCAGGTCTCTTCCTCACTGTGGGCTCCTCCTCAAAGGATGAAGGGGACAGAGTGCAATTTTAGAGGGGCCACACCCCTCACAGGCCACTTGCCTGGGGAAGGTGGGGTGATGGTCCCCTTTAACTCAGATCCTCCTTCTCCCTCAGGAGTATACAGACCACCCCCCTCCCTCTCAGCCCAGCCAGGCCCGGTGGTGAACTCAGGAGGGAACGTGTTCCTCTTGTGCTACTCTCAGTCCACACAGGGGACACTTTTCCACCTGCTGAAGGAGGGAGGGGCTGAGCCGCTCCATAGCAGGAAACCAGAATGGAAGTACTATGCTGGGAGATGGCAGGCTGTCTTCCCTGTGAGCCCCATGAGATCCTCCCATGGAGGGACCTACAGATGCTATGGTTCCTCCAGCTCCTACCCCAATGTGTGGTCACAGCCCAGTGCCCCTCTGCATCTCCAAGTCACAGGTGAGGTGACCCACACTTGGCTTCAAATCTTTCCTGGGCCCCCAAATATCTGATCTAACCCTGTGCCTCATAAAGCCCTGGGGGAGGTAGGGGTGCATGACTTGGTTTAACTAGGGACAGAATCACAGGCAGGAGACTTAGGGAGGGACAAGTGACAGCTCTCACTGCAGCCCCCCTGGGTAGTGGGTGGGTGTGTCCCCTGAGTGACAATGACCTTCTCCCCAGGTGTGTACAGGGAACCCTCCCTCTTGGCCCAGCCAGGACCCATGGTGCTGCCTGGAGACAGCCTAACCCTCCAGTGTCACTCGGAGCCTGGCTCTGCCGGATTCGCTCTGACCAAGGACCAACAGCCCACACACCTCCAGTATCTCCAGGGGCAGCACAGCCCCAACTTCTCCCTGGGCCCTGTGAACCTCGCCCACAGGGGCCGCTATAGGTGCTATAGCAGACACAACCTCTCCTATGTGTGGTCCGCCCCCAGCGCCCCCCTGGACATCCTGATTGCAGGTGAGGAGCCCTGCCCTGCCCCCCTATCCTGACTGGGAAGGGAGTGAGGAGCATGGAGATAAAAGACACAAACTCAGAGGAACTGAGAGGAGCTGAGAGGGGTCACAGACGGTGTCCCTGGGGATTGACATGGTCCCTCAGCTCAGGGACAAGGGCATGGGGGGAGGGGTGACTCTGCACATCACAGCCCTCCTCTCCCCAGGAATATACGAGAAACCCTCCCTCTCAGCACATCCAGGACCCTCAGTGCCCTGGGGAGCGAATGTGACCTTGCAGTGTCAATCTGAGGTCAGGGCTGACACCTTCTACCTGCACAGGGAGGGGTCCCTGGATCCTCCCCAGTGGCTTCGTCTGCAGGACACAGCTGCCCCTTCTCAGGCCAACTTCACCATCAGCCCTGTGACCTTGGGCCACAATGGGACCTACAGGTGCTACAGCTCACGCAGCTCCTCCCCCTTCCAGCTGTCACATCCCAGTGACCCCCTGGAGCTCCTGGTCTCAGGTGAGGAGCCCCAGACCTTGCCCTTGTATCTTCATGGTCAGTTCAGGACCCTGTTCCCCAGGGGATCTTTAGGCTGGACAAGGTCGAGGGGGGTCACAGAAGGAGGGTCAGCCCGAGGGGACCCTCACCTCCCAGAGGAATGGAAAAGCCAGAGCCACCAAACCCTTGCCTCACCCTCATCCCTGAGGCCCAGACAAGTTTCAGGGCCCCAGGAATGTTGGAAAGGCCTCGGGCTGAGCAAAGGGAGGAAAAGCCAGGGGCACCCATCCCAACCCCTCTCCTTCTGCAGCGCCCTTGGCCTGACCCTGAGACCAGGACAAGCATGGTGACTAGCAGAGGCCTTGCTCCCAGAGAGAACCAGATGCCCCACTCTGGCACACTTGGCCAGACACTGATGCTGGGAGAATATTGGGGACCCCCATGGGACTGTGAGGCAGGCAGGTGACGAGTGGGGGTGTCATGGCAGAGGGAGATGCTGTGGTCCCACCCAGGTGAAGGGCAGCCAGGCTCAAGTGGGGAGAAGGCAGATCCCATCCCTCACCCTCCCCATTCTGTTCTCCAGGAGGCCCTGAGGATCAGCCCACCACGAAGTCAGGCCCCCAGTTGGGTAAGTGAGGGCCTGGGAGGTTGCGGGGGGGTGGGCAGTGAAGCTCAGTTCTGGTCTTGGCTCAGCCAGTTCCTGGATAAGAACCTGAGAAAAGTTCTTTCTTCTCTCTGGGACCAATTTCTCCAAAGGCTACTCCGTCTGTGTGCATGTGGGTACGTGTGTGATTGCCTATGTGTGTGTGTGTGTGTGTTGGGGACACAGGCAGTATCTGGGCTCTCCTCTGTAAGCCTTCCAAGGAGCAGCTACAGAGTTGGGGAAAGATGCCCCACTCGTGGTTCAGCTCCTAGCTCTGCTACCTCCCATCTGTGGGATCTTGGACAAGTCGTGTTCCTCCCGAGTCAAGGTCACGGGCTGTGGAACAGGTCTCCTGCCACCTCCCCCAAAGGGAAAGCCCTCAGCAGGCAGCCTGGCCCTGTTTAGAGCTCTGGAAGGACACAGACCACCCACACCCCTCACAGATACACACTCTGTGTGCACACAGGCCTCACCGCGGCAGGCTGGGGTGTCAGTCTGCAGAGTGGGAGATGGACAGGGCTGGGGAGCAGTGGTGACTGGATGTGGTAACAGGTCTCTGCCCTGGTGTTCTCCCTGGAGAATACAAGGACAGCATAAACAAAAATTTAAAAACAATAATAATAGTAGTGACAATCACACAAGGAAACCCACATCCCAGGGTCCAGTCCCAGCCCTGCCCCAGCCAGGCTGGGTGGCCTGGGGCACATGGCTAACCTCTCAGAGCCGCAGTGGACTGGTCGGTGGGTCAGCCATCCCTGGTGCACGAGGGCTGTGAGGTTAGAGCAGATGAACGACAGACCTCAGCCCATGCCTCGCACACAGTAGGTGCTCATTAAATGGCATCTTGGCTCATTCATGACATCACTCCTACCCAAGGTCTCCAATGGTCCCTGAGCATCCTGATTGGGGTCTCGGTGGCCCTCGTCCTGCTGTTCTCCCTCCTCCTCTTCCTCCGACACCGGAGTCAGAACAAAGGCAGGACATCGAGTGAGTAGGAAACGAGGTGACCTGGGTCACAGAAGATAGTGTGGGTTTAAGAGCCAGCCAGAACTAAACCAAATAGGAAGGTCAGCAAAGAAAAACTCCAGCCTTTCCCAATGGGAAAAAACCTAAAGAGATTAAATGAGAGTGTATGCATAAGTATCTTTGAGTATTCCTTTGGCTTTTCCAAACTTATGAAATATTTGAAAACACATGCAAGTTTTGTTCTTCTTCAACCAGAATTGCATTCTCTCTACATGGAGGTGGGTGGGGGATTATGATCTCAGTTGTTAAGTCCTCTGCAGGTCTTAGCCCTGCCCCAGGGGAGGGTCTGTGAGGGGGGGGCGCGGGGGGGGGCGGGGGGTGGTTGCTGGAAGCTGACCCCACCTTCCCGCAGTGGGCGCAGCAACAGAACATGAGGACAGAGGACCGCAGAAGAGGTGAGCCCTCTCCCCAAGACCCTGAGCCCCACTGGTCTGGGCCCCGCCTCAGCCTCCTAACACTCTCTCTCTTCCCCCAGCTCCAGCCCAGCTGCTGACGTCCAGGAAGAGAACTTGTGTAAGGAAACTTGGACGAGGAGTCTTGGGGGAGGAGACAGGCCCAGAGAAATGGTCTGGGCTTGGCTGTGACACAGCACAAAGCTGATACTGTGACCTTTGCCACATAACTAATCCTACCTGGGCCTCTGCTGGGTGAGATCTCAGGGAACCTTGGCAAGAGATGAAATCGCCTTGTTCTGTCCCCAACAGATGCTGTTGTGAAAGACACACAGCCTGAGGAGGACAGACACCTGGACAGTCAGGTGAGCTCCATCTGGCCCTGAGCTGGGAGCCCACACACACTTGTCCATACACCAAATTCTGTGCACATGTCCCTGTCACCCACCTCAACTCTGGACCACCTCTGGAAGTACCCGTTCTGAACTGCTGCAACACTACGCTCTCCTTGCCCTCCCCGGTCTCCTCCACTGGCCGATGCTCCGGTGGCAGTGGCGATGGCAGCGCTGGAGGTCAGGCGCAAGCAGTTGGAGCCTCGCCAAGGGGCTGAAATCCAGGCCCTGGGCCTGCAGAGAGGTGCTCCTGAACCCCACACAAAGGGCCCTACAGGCTCGCTCAGCCCTCGCTGTGTTCATTCTCTCCCGTCGAGCCTGGGACCCACACAGGGTGACAACACGCTCTGTCCACCATGGCAGGCTCACTCGGCCCCAACGAGCCATGGACAGCACTCCCTTGAGGGCTGCAGCGGGGTCTGTCTGCCCGTGGTTATGGCTCCATGCCCAGTTCCTATCTCCCCAGCACCAGACTCACACTGCCAAGCTTTTGACCCCACACCCTGCCTCCCCTAGACCCGAAACGATCCAATGACTGACAGGAACAGAGAACAAGAGTAGAACCAAGAAGATTACCCCCCTCACTGTCTCTGGCAGTCATGACCAAGGCCCCCAGGACTGTGTCCTTTATCCTCCCCAGCCTAAGGCATCCCCAACCCCAACCATGAGTCTTTGTTCTGCCCCACCACAGGCTGCAGCATCTGAAGATTCCCAGGATGTGACCTACGCCCAGCTGAACCACTTGGCCCTCAGACAGGAGACAAGTGTACCCTCTTCCTCCCCATCAGAGGAGCCCCCAGATGAGCCCAGTGTGTACGCTACTCTGGCCGTCCACTAACCCAGAAAGGATCCTAACCCCACACTCCAGGGAGGGGGTCTGCAGGGACCCTGGAAGGCACAGGAGCTGCCCCCAAGGACACTCAGCAGTGGCCCCTGCCAGCCTGGAGACCTCACTCGGGCCCTCAGCAGCTCTGGGGCCTTTTAGAAGTCGATTGCTTCTGGAACTCCATCATCACATGGCTGATCTACATCCCCTAAGGGACCCCACTGACTGCAAGAATCCCTTGGAACTGCAAGGCCAGAATTATACACGTGACAACCTTGGGCTGAGGGTAGGCCTATAATTCAGCCCCAGTGAGCCACAGCTATCACTGTGAAGCTGGGCACTCAACTGACCTCAGAGCCCAAAAGTCCCCAGGCACAAAGGGACCAACTATAGGGTACAAAGTGGCTACAGCCACTGAAGGGGTTGCTCAATTCCATACTTCTCATTTCCTGATCCAGCCCCTTCCTCCCCTGCCTGATGCAGCTTCTCAGCAACGAAAAGGAAGTCTGCTCCCTCCTGACCATCACTGTCTTCCTTCTCTAAACACAGGGGGAGGGGTGCCTTTCATAGGCCACTAACCCATTCCCCACTTCACATCAACACAGAATTAGGAATCTGTCCACCACCCACCCTGTAACAAGCTGTGTAATGAGCCTGTAGATCTTGTCAATCACTACCAATTAAAATTCACCAGCTGCCCTGACCAGTGTGGCTCAATTGGTTAGGCATCATCCCACAAAGCTAAAGGTCACCAGTTGATTCCTGATCATGGCCCATGCCTCAGTTGAGGGTTCCATTCTGGTTGAGGTGTTATTTCTCCCCTTTCCTCCCTCCCTTCCCCTCTAAAACACAAACAAAAAACCCCCCAGCAGCCTATGGTGGATGGGATCAGCCCTGTTCCCAGCACCTCCCTGCCCCCACAGCTCATCCTGACTTCCCTTGTCATGGGTTGGGGAAAGGCTAGAGATGGGTGATGATGCTGATCTCCACTTGCTACTTCCTCTGCCTGAAAATGATTGTTCAACTTTGAGCTTTTTTTTTATTGTATTTGTTCAGAATGCTCATCTTTAAACTTAACTGAAATTAAAGATAATCCGTTTGCCAATGTCACATCTGGTTTTGACTCAGAACCATCCTCAGCCCTGGTTGGTGTAGCTTAGTGGATTGAGCATGGGCCCTGTGAACATAAAGGTCGCAGGTTCAATTCCCAGTCAGGGCACATGCTTGGGTTGCAGGTCATGCTCCCAATGAGGGGACACATGAGGCAACCACATATTGATGTTTCTTTCTCCCTCCCTTCCCTTCTAAAAATTGTAGAAATCTAAAAAAAAAAAACAAAAACAAAAAAAAACAAAAAAAACCTTTCTCATAATATCCTTGGCCACCCTGCTGTGATGTTAGTGGTGTGTGAATGTTGTTCAGTAGGCAGCCGCCACAGGGCAAGGACCCCACCCACAGACAGTCACAGTACCTTACAGCAACGGCTTCAGCAGTCTCAAAATTGGACAGACACAAACGAGCATGGCCCCTGAGCAAGGATGACACAGCTGGTGAAGCATTCCCAATTTCTTCATGACTAGTAACTAAACTCTCAGGGGTGATCATTTTGTAGTGTACGTAGATGTTGAAGTATGTTGTATACCAGAAACACTAAAAAAGTTTTTTAAAAATCCCACAAGGACCTGACCAAACCAGCCTAACCAGGCCCCTCCAATGCAGGAAGAACCACTGACAGGTGAGTGAACTAGCTCGAGGTAACCTGATCAAGAACCCAGCCTGCATTTCTCCATGCTACACAGAGGGTGTGTTCAGAGCTGGGAGGATAAGAGCCGCACCAATAAAGAGATGCACAAGTTCCAAAGTGTTGATCTGTTTTATTATCCAACTGGAAAATCAGACACTCCTCAGTCCAGGGGGGAAGAGGGGCTTAATCCTCCTCCTCGTCATCACCAGCTCCAGCCCCGCCCTGGCCCTTCTTGGCGTTCTTCCTCTTCACTCGGCCTGGGCGGCCACCCCCGTATGGGGACCGGAGGGAGAAGTCAATGTGCTTCTGGGAGTCCAGGCGGACAATGAAGGATGGGATATTCACCACCTGCTTGCGGACCCTGGACAGGGGACAGCAGGTTAAGAAGGGAGCAGGACCCCACCCTGGACAAGACATCCCCCTCCTCTCACTTGCACAGGGCTAGCACCACAGCTGCACTCATGCAGCCACACTGACAGGGCCTGCTGATCCCTCGGCCTCTGGTGTCAATGTAACCAGATGTCTCCATCTAATCCGTACAGTACTTTGTGAGACACGCTCTGCTTGCTCACTTTACAGAGCGGAGGGAGATTCAGAAGTAACCACACAAGACCCCAAAGCAAATGAGGTGAGGTGGCAACATGTAAACCCAAGATCTTGCTTTCAAACATTCAATTTGTTACCCTACAGGTTCACTGTCCTGGAAGCAGCAGCCCACGGCTAGGTTCCATGAAGTCATTTCCAATAAGAAACATGACAGGCTCTCACCCTCGGATCACAGGGCTAGGAGAGGGCTGAGGCACCCATTTCGTGGACAAACATCCTGTCCCGTACTGCACAGCTTTCCCCCGAATGGCGCCCAATTTACAGAAAGGGCAACCAGTACCCAGATAAAGACCCACCAGCCCTGCCTGCCCTCTTCACTGCACCACCCTGAGCCACCATCTGCGCTGCAGCAGACCCTGGAGTGTGGCCAATTTGCCAAGTTAACGCCCACAGTACAAGAATGCAATAGGATCGGGGTCTGGAATGACTTCACAAGTGGGCCCTGGGCACAGCTGAGCCCACCCAAGCCGGCCGAGGCCCAGTGACTTCTCTCTCTCAATGGGGAGACACCAGAGCTATTACCTGTCCGGCTGCCTGCATGCCTGGCAGAGACCTTCGCAAGGTGTACGGCTCAAGCCGCAGTGACCCTTGCGCTGGGCTATGGAGGGTAGTGAGGTGGCCCCCAGCCTCCCACGAGCGGTTTGTTTGTAGGGGTCAATCTGTACCCTCAAGGTGAGCTCACACCTTTGTCACCTCCAAGGGCTACACAGGAGACAGGGACAGCAGGCTCAATGAGAGCAACCTTCAGAAGGGGGGGGGGTGCACAGGACTCAAGGAGCCCACCAGAGGTAGTACCTGATGTGCCGCTGGCGGATCAGCACACGAGCATGATGGATGGACTTGGCCAGGCCCAGCTTGAAGACCTGGGTCTGCAGGCGCCTCTCCAAGAAATCCTCAATCTTCAGGCCCAGGATGTAATCCAGCTTCATCTTGCCCTCGTCCAGCACCCCAATGCGCACGAGGCGCCGCAGTAGGGCATTGCCTGAGGGAAGGGGCACAGGGATGGAACACAAGCCAGGGTTCTGGCTGACCTCACACCTGCTGCTCCTCCACCTCAACAGCTCCACATCATGGACACTGGTGGGAAGCAGGAACTAATTCTGACAAAGGACTCAATGTACCAACCATCATGTGAGTCATGTGACGCCCTACACAACCCTAAGGCAGGTCCCATGGCTACACCCATCTCACCAGGTAGGGCAAGTGACTGCATACACCTGTGCTCTCATCTGGAAAAGGAGAGCCTTCCTCAGTTGTCATGAAGAAAAACTGAGATGATCCCTGTAAAAGGGCTTAGCATTCGCCTGTAAAACTAAGGGCTGCCATTATTAAACTATAGATCCCATGATAAAGCATGGGGCATAAGAGCTAACATTTGGGAGTTAAGAAAGCCCTACAAGTTTCCCCACACAGGCTCACACCTAATTAGCACATTTACACTGGAGAAACAGCCCAAAACCTTTGTCCTTAGGAAGGACAGTTTCACCTTGTAAGTGGTTCTTACCATGTTATAGCAAAACCACCAAATTCAAGGACCAAATTCAAGGACACTCCATAAACAATGGACCCACATTAACTGAATGCTTCCTGCCCCTAGGGAAAACATGAAGGAAAGCCTGCTGACTGTAGGCACTTCAGTACCAAAAGGCCAATTTGCCAATTTGCCCGTGATTACAGCAGGAGGCAAGAACTTAAGTGCATCAGCTCCTGATCTGTGCGGATTGAGTTTCTACTGGTCAGTGCCTGAAAGAACCGCCAACCAAATGCTCGCTGCTGCTAAGTGTTAATGTCTTTTTAACATGTAGGGAGACTCAGGGAAGCTTCTTGCCCAGGCACACACTTTAGTGGGAAGGCTGGATCTAAAACCAGGTGGGGCAAGTTCAGTAAGGAACACCTCCTGCGGTGGGAATCCCAGGCTCCTCCTCCCTTGTCCTGTGGCTTACTGGCTGGTTTACTAGAAGGTGAAAATGCTGCCTTCTCCTTGCAACTTCCATTTCTGCCCTGGAAAAACACAAGCCTTGGACACCTGTCAATCATCTCTTTGCCATGTGATTGTCATCTAACCATAGGCTTGAGTAAGTTTCACTGTGACTATCTTCAGAAAATCCTGAGACCAGAACCATCTGCAGCCCACTCCCCACAACCTCTGGGATTAAGTCCCACCCAATATCAGCATCCATGGGGATTCTGGAACCTTCATGAGATGGTCAAAGGGGTTTATGAACTAGCATAAGGATAAGAATGAGCTCAGTGGATTGAGCGCGGACTGTGAACCAAAGCATTGCAGGTTCCATTCCCAGTCAGGGCACATGCCTGGGTTGCAGGCCATGACCCCTGGCAATTGCACATTGATGTTTCTCTCTCTCTTTCTCTCTCTCTCCCTTCCCTCTCTAAAAATAAATTTTAAAAAAATTAAAAATAAAATAAAAGCACTTCCTTATAGTCACAGGATGGGAGAAAAATCATACTAGTTACCCTGACTGAAAATTAGGAGAAACATCATGTATGCAAGGAGGGTAGGCCTGATTCCCAACCTCTCCTGCTTCTCATAAATCATTAGATTCCCTGACCTCATGCTAAAAGCAGTATCATGATGATAGCTGGAGCCATGACAGGGCAGCTCAGCTGGTTAGAGCACCATCTTGACAGGCTAAGGCTGCAGGTTTGATCCCCAGTGAGCAACCAATGAATGCCCAAATAAATGAACCAACAGAACAATGTTTCTTTCTCAATCTCTCCCTTCCCCTCTCTAAAATCAGTACTTTAAAAATTTTAAGATTTTATTTATTTTTAGAGAGAGGAGAAAGGAGGGAAAAAGAGGGAGAGAAGCATCAATCGGTTGCCTCTCTCACACCCCAAACTGGGGACCTGGCCTGCAACCCAGGTATGTGCCCTGACTGGGAACTGAACCAGCAACCTTTCAGTTTGCAGGCCTGCACCCAAATCCACTGTGCCCTACTAGTCAGGGCCAAAAAAAAATTTTTTTAACTTAAAAAAAAAATACAGCTGTGAAGGAGCCAAAGGTAACCCAAAACAAGGCGCTTGAAGTAAATTTTATGGTATGCAAATTTTATCCTAATAAAAGCTGTTACAAAAAACATACAAGTTACAGAACCATCTACAAGGCAGACTTCAGTCTGTTTCAATCTGTACATACAGCTCTTCAATAACCAGAATACAAGATAAGATACACTGACCAACTTAGGCATCCGATTTGTTTATTTCTTTACTTTTGGTTTTCTTCAGTTCCTCTAAAATCCCCCCTTTCTATCCCCATCACTGAGTTGCTCTAGGAATCTGCGCTCCAGTCTCACTAGGGTGGAAGACCTGTTCTTCTATAAGAGAAATATCCATTGCCACCCCTACAAGCCTGCAACGCAGATTAAATAATGTATTTGAAGAGCTTAGAAAAGTGCACCTAATTCTTATAAAGTATCAGCTATTTTAACATTACTGCCATCTTACATTCTGAGAACTATTAAAATTTGAGTGCAGTCGTGTCAATCTTCCATTAACCTTCCATCTCAGAGTAAAAATGCAAGACGTTAATCAAGAGTTTGCTCTTCCCTGTCACATCCACAAGCCCTCTCCTATCCAGGCGTTTGCTAAATGTTACTTAATGTCCTAACCACCTTACTGAAACTGGCAAATGCACACAGCCAAGCTCCTACCCTGCAATCACCATCAGGTATTTCAGAAATTTCACTGTCTATCCCACCAACAAAACCACGTTGTTACAAACAGCTGTAGCCAGGTGGCCAAGCTCAGGTCCATTATTAGTCTAATCCAAAGTAAAACTAAGATCCAATATTTGGGTAAAACAAAGTTCACACGTAAGGAAGAGCGCAAGGATTTGGATCCAGACCCACTTTTCCTACCCCACAATTCCCATCAAACGCCAAGTTTAAAGGCTGGCTCGCTTTAACACTTCTGATCACCGGACTAAGCTGGCCTAAAACCGCAGCAGCCCTGCACCTCATCGCTTTTCTGTGGGCTCCCACACATACCTTCAAACAGACGCCGTGGGTCTTTCTCGTCCAGTGTCAGCAGCTCCCGAGCAGCCTTACGGATCTTAGCCAGGGTAAATTTGACCCTCCAGACCTCACGTTTGTTCCGGAGCCCATACTCTCCTACAAGGGGGAGGAAAAAAAAAAGGGAGGGGGGATGGAGGGAGTCGACAGGGGAACAGGTTGTCCCACGGAGTAGTGCCAAGAGGCTTCGGGATACAGAAAATCTTCCTAAACCACTAATAATTCTGAATTCGGGGAACAAGGAGGGGGAAAACAGTCAGAGAACTTTGAACAAATGGAGCACGTGGCCGGCCTCACACACGTGCTAGCTTCCTCCCCCACTCCACGACCCCGAAAACCCAGCCTTGGCCACTCACCGATCAGCTTCAGCTCCTGGTCAAGGCGGGATTTCTCGAAGGGTCTCCGCGGGGTCACATACGTCTTGCGACAAACCCAGCTCCGGGCTACAGGCATGTTGCCTCCGCTCGCCCGCCTGCGCAGAAACAAAAGCTGGGCGTAAGGAACGCAGAAGGCGCCTGCGCGGTCCCACAACTACGCTAGAATCCCGCGTCGCCCAGGAAAGATCTCGCGAGAACCTTCCCTAAAGCTTCCATAAGCTGAATCACCCAACAAACGTGTAGCCGTCTTGTCCAACCACTCTCTTCTCACCCGCAACCTGGTCACCGTCCTTATCAAAACTTGGATGGCCAGCACGACCCTACAACTCAAGCCCGAACTATCAGAGAACAACACTCACCTACACGCGGATCCAGAAAACTGAGAAAGAGGGGAGTACCCGCCCTGGCCGCGCTCTTATAACAACGCTGCCTCCCTTTGCGTCATGACGCAGGGCGCACACCTGCACCAATCAGAAGAGGCTTTGGCGGGCGGAAACGCTGTGGGGGCGAGAGGACGGGCGGGAGCGGTGTTTGCAAAGCTAGGGCTACCTCCTCTCTGCCTGATGGGAGTCGGGGCACGGACGACCACAGAAGTGGGACCTTCTTCGCCCCTTGAGTGGTGACTGAAGTCCGGTATAATGTTGGAGACGTTACCTCCACCTTCTCTAGACTTCAGTCCGCTGCCCTTCTGTGAAAAGACCCCCAGAGGGTTGGAGCTTCGCGATCTCATAACTGTTCTAGAAACTGCTCCGTGGAATCTGTGAATAATGAAGTGGTAGTTTTTCCTGTCAGAATAACCTCACTCTGAAGCATAGCCTGAAGCCAGCCTGTCCTTTTGATCCCCGGCTACAAATCTGAGGAGTGAAAGCGAGGATTCACGGAGTCGTAGTGTGACTTGCCTGAGAAGACACGCCTCAGCTTGACATGCTGACAGGATTCCACTTTCGCCTGCCTTGATTTTGCAGACGAGGGGAAAAAAGATCTGGGTAGAAATCTGGCCATTCCTGGAATGTTTATCACCAGGCTCTGGCTACCTCTGGGGACAGTCGCCCTCCCGTAGCGTGGGCCTCGCTTTATTTATTCAGCAGCACAAGGAATTGTTCCACACGGTGACATATAGCCGTGAATAAAACGGCCTATCTACTCACGGAGCTTAGAGTCTTAGGGGAACAGGAAAAAAAGTTGAAGGAAATAATCACTTCAGGTTGGGGTGCCACGAAGAAAATTAATTACTGATATGACTGAGGGAAGATACTTCAGATAGGATGGTCCAGAGTGTACTCTTTAAGTAGATGACTTTTTTTTCTTTTTAATACTTGAGCCTCAAGGGTAAAAAGGCTTTCTGCTGCTTTATCAAAAACAGCAGTTTATATCCTGAGGTTCGTTCCCAGAGCAGGGAAAATGTGAAACTTCTTGCCATGTATTCTGCTCCACCATGGTGCCATTTGTCACCTTGAAGAATTTAGGTTTTAGTTGATGTGTTTTGTCAACATCTTACCCTCAGTCAGCCGCTAGGATTATTTCCTTCAGTCCTTTCCTCTCTGGAGGAATCCCATTCATACCAAGGGCTTTACTAATTATTGTTAGATCATGTTTAATGAGCACTTTAAATGTTCTAGACTTTGGACTAAGCACTTCATCTGGGTTTTTTTTCAATTGATTTTTTTTTTTTTTTGAGTAAGAGAGGGAGAGTGAGAGAAACACTGATTTGTTATTTCACTTCCTGATGCATTCATTGGTTATTTCTTGTACATGCTTTGACCAGGGATTGAACCGGAAACCTTAGCATATTGGGAAGATGCTCTAACCAACTGAACTACCGTATTTTTCAGATTATAAGATACACTTACACCCCCAAATTTGGGAAGAAAATGGGGGTGCATCTTATAGTCCAAATGTACCTTACCTGGCTCCCTGCGGGGCGGGGGGGGCAGCAGTGGAGCAGGGTCACAAGTTATTAAGTATTTTACCACATTTTTTGCTTCAAAATGTTTTTTCCTATTTTCCTCAAAAACCGAGGTGAGATGCATCCTATAGTCCTAAAAATATGGTACCTAGCCAGGGCCTTCTGGGTTTTTTTAATTCTTGTGAACTATGATTTCTTTTTTTCTTTAAGATTTTTATTTACTTATTTATTTTTAGAGAAAGAAGAAGGGAGGGAGAAAGTGGAAGGGATATATCAATGTGTAGTTGCCCCTTATGCACCCCCCCTCCCAGGGACCTGGCCTGAAACCCAGGCATGTGCACTGACTAGGAATCAAACTGGCAACCCTTTGGTTCACAGGTAGGTGCTCAATCCACTGAGCCATACCAGCCAGGGCATGACCTATGATTTCTATCACTAAAAATAACAGGTGGCATTCCTTACTATGTAAGAGGTGCTGTTCTAAGAATTTTACTTGTATTAATTTATTTAATCCTTGATACATACTTAAGGAGTACCCTGAGAGAAGTTGTCCTCCCTCATTAAAGAGTACTAATACTATTATTAATCCTGTTTCACAGAGACAATACTGAGGCACCAAAAAATGGTTACAGAACTTACCCAAAACTACACAATGTGGAAATAAATGAAAAAAGCAAAGACTGTATATGCAGAGTGAGAGTGTCAGTCTCTCAAATTTTGGCAGAGACCACAACAGGCAGTTTTATAGTGAAAGAAAAGGTATTGGCTTTAGGTGTTCCCTCATTGGATGCTGTTGGCCTGGGGAGCTCTTGGAGGTGGGCTAATTTCAGGCATCCCGTTTGATAGGTGAAGGGAGGATATTTGGCTTTCTCTTTTGGTCTTAAAATGGAACCAGTGACAAAAATTAGGGAAGCTGTCAGTTTCTAATCAAGTCCTGATCCTTTTGGACTGTTACAGGGATCATTGCTTCAGCCATCCTCCCACCCTCTTGCCATCTCTGTATCTATGAGTATCTTTCAGGTTACTTTATTTTATTTTTTAAATTTTATTTACTTATTCTTTGAAAGAGAGAGGAAGGGAGGGAGAAAGGGAGAGAAACATCAGTTGGTTGCCTCTCACACAGGGGACCTGGTCCTCAACCCAAGCATGTGCCCTGTCGAAGAATCAAACCAACAGCCTTTTGATTTGCAGGCTGGTGCTCAATCCAGTGAGCCACACCAGCCAGGACTGTTTCTGGGTTTTTTTGTTGACAGATTATCTCTCAGACAAAAAGGTTACAGGAGGGCGGTAACCACATCTTTTCTACTTATCAGCAACTTAGCATAAGTCCAACATATAGTTATCAATAAATTATTAAATGTATACTCTGGTTTCTCTTCAGATCGTATGAATATTTTGCCAAAAAATATCAAAAATAAATTATTAAATATATGAATAACTATATGCATCATCTATAAATCAGAAGTTTCCACAAACCTCTCCTTGGGTCTGCTAGAATGGCTCATAAAACTCAGTAACATCTTACTCACCTGATCTCTGGTTAAATATAAAAGAATATGATTCATTTGTCCTGATTCATATGATTCATTTGGAGAAAGGGCAGGGAGTATCCATGCCCTCTCCCCAAATCCCCATGTCCTCCAACCCAGTGATTATTTTTAAATATATTAAAAATATGGAACACCTCACAAATTTGCATGTCATCTTGCACAGGGGCCATGCTAATCTTCTCTATATTGTTCCAATTTTAGTATATGTGCTGCTGAAGTGAGCACCCCAGTGATTAATTAAATCATTGGCAATTGTTGGCTGCAATCAATCTCCAGCCCTTCTCCCCATGGTGGAGGAGGTATATTTAAAGTTCCAACCCTCTAATCAAATCATTGGTTCCTCTAGCAACCAGATCCCATCCTTAGGTATATTTAAAAAATCATTTTGTTTACTTAAACTCAGGTATGGTTAAAAGGGTTTATTATGAATATCCAAACACCTTCATTGATCTTAATACTTTTGGAAATTCCAAGGATTTTGGAGCTCTGTTCCAGAAACAGATGAAGACCAAATATATATTTCTCATTATAAATCACAATAGTGATAAGTAGTAAGGCAAATACATCAAGAAGGGTGATGCAGAGTGTGTTAAATTTTAAGGTAGTGTGACCATGGAAGGCCTAAGATGTTACATTGAAGGAAAGACCAGCCTATAGTGAGGGACAAGACCATGTGGCCATCCAAAGGAAAAACATTCCAGGTTAGGTTGCAAAAACAGTGAAATGGTAGCATGCTGTTGAGGCCAGTGTGGCAGCAGCAGAGTAAGCACAAAGGAGAGGGATGGATGGGGTCAGATAAAGAGAAACCTGCAACATGGGGCCTTTGCTTTTACCCAGAGACAGAAATGATTGGAAAGTTGTTTTTTTTTATTTTACTTTCTCTATTTTATTTATTTACTTTCAGAGAGAAACATCAATGTGTGGTTGCCTCTCATGTGGCCCCCACTGCTGGCTTGGCCCACAACCCAGACATGTGCCCTGACTGGGAATTGAACTGGTGATCCTTTGGTTCACAGTCTGGTGCTCAATCCACTGAGCTATATATACCAGGCAGGGCTGTTCATGTGTTATTTTTATTTATATCCTTGTATGCATCCGAAATATTTCATGAAAATCCAAAAGGAAGTCTAACACTGTGGGAATGGCTCAGGCTTCATTCAGAGTCACAAAGACCAGGTTTTAAATCCCAGTCCTGCTACTTACTAGCTGTGTGACCTTAGTCAAGTCATTTCCCCTCCTCTGGGCTTTTCCTCATCTGTATAAGAAGATGAAAATGGCCACATTTCCCAGGACTGTCCTAAGGATTCAAATCACAAGCTCCACATTTATTCAACAAGTTTATTGGGTCTTGGGACCTAAGCCCTGTAGAAAATAGAGACGAATCAAACCCAGTCTTCACTCTCAAGAAGCCCACAGTTTGCAAATAGGTAACTACAAAAACAACACAGCCAGTAAGTGCTTTGAAACAGAGAGGGACATAAAAAGAATGTAGTGTTTTTAAATCTGCAATCAAAAACTAATCATAGGTCAGAAGGTGTCCTATCCTTCCATGCAGAGATGAACTTGGGACCATCTCTTGCCACAGACACAGCCGCACCCCATAGGTCTCGAGTTCACTGCAGGCTGGCCCACTGCAGGGAGGTATAGACCACCTTACCATCAGACTGTGGAGAACAGAGGAGCATTGTCTTTCTGACACTGGTTCCAAGGCGACCAGCAGAAACCAGGTCCTGGAGTGGGATAGGATCCCCGGGATCCCAGCACTGGGCAATGTAATGGGCATGGAAACGGAGCGGGTCACCTGAGTAAGGAAGAGAGGAATGCAGCAATTTCAATAGCACAGGCTGGAAGACGTTAGACTACCCATAGGGAAGAGAAAGGGAATCATTTTAGCTGTGAATCATTTTACTGTGAGTATTTTAAAACAAGATATCCTTAGGCTCAGAAATTTGTCTTCTCAAATTTTTTCTCAAACAGTATAGAAGTATAGCGGCACTAAAGTCCACCCACATACATTGCCCAGTGCTAAGACTCTCACCTCATCTGCAGAAGACTTAGTGGACAGTTTCCAATCAACAGTTAAGCTCTGCCTATTCATCAGGTAGCTCTATCTTTTCACATTCTTAGGGGGAATAAAAAGGGGAACCTGCTCTCTGCAGATTTATTTTTTTTAAACTTTTAGTTACACAGTAAAGACACCCTTACTACATGTTAACTGATTCATCAAAAGTTCCTTTACCACCCTGGGTGCTGTGACTCAGTGGCCTAAGTGCTCATCTGCAAACTGAAATGTCGCCAGTTTGATTCCCAGTCAAGGTATATCATTGCATTGTGGGCCAGGTTCCCAGTTGAGGGCATGCAAGAGGCAAATGATCCATGTATCTCTTGCATATCCATGTTTCTCTTCTTCTCTCCCTCCCTTCCCTTCTAAAAATAAATAAAATCTTTTTTTTTAGAAAGTCCCTTTATCTATACCTGATGCATATTCCCTTTCAGAGGTAACCATTTAGTTTGGCTGGAGTACATCCTTTCATGCCTTTTTCTACTTTTTTGATGGCGTCCTCTTAGTCTACTTAGTACTCCATTTTGTTGTAAGTTTTTTTCATATTATTTTACTTGAATGTGTATATAACTGTATAACAATATAAAATATGATTCACTTTTTACTATACACATTTCTCTCTCTCTCTTTTATTATACACATTTTTCTACAAGCTATTCTTTTTTTCTCCCTTTGGCCATTTTAAAAATAAATGTACATGGACCTATACCAACCTGACTACTAATGGTTTCTCTGACAGCTAATGGTGATGTTTAACCACTAAGCTAATAGTCATTATTCTGGTTGTTATCTAACTTTTGAATACTGTAAGGAATCCTGCAATGAAAATTTCTTATATGTTTGGTATACATATCTAAGTATTTCTAGCTAAATCTTCCAGATGAAAGGAAGTGATAATAAAATTTACTATACTACTCTCCAAATAAGCTTGGGTTCCCAAGTGTTGCCTGTCCTTCCATGTATTTCAGAAGCTAAGAAAATGAGACAAAGGAAAAATGCAGAATGTGGTAGGATTGTGAAGAAAGGGGCAGCAACCAGAGGTCCCAACCCAAACTCACCAGGATAGACCAGGAAGTCACCCCCAAATTTGCCAGCTGCACTGAGGAAGAAGCCTCGCTCCCACAGGTCTCTGTAGATGCTGTAGCGCAGCTCATGGACTGGACGGCCAGCATGGGGCCAGTCCTTGGACTGTACACGCCAATCCAGGGGCCTAGCCTTGATGGGTCGAGGCCTAGCTGTGGCTAGCTGGACGAGCATAGCAGATCTGGGCAAGAGGGCCACCCCATCTGAAGGCCCTGGTTGGGGAGAGGAGGAGCCTGGGGGAGGTAAACCCAAGAGTTGGGTGACTCCAATACGCAAATTCTTCCCGTCCCCAAGGGAGTCCAGGCCTTCGAGTCCCAGCCAAAACTCCCAAACGTTCTCTCGCCCCCTTCCCCTAGCCCCTGGTCCCCAGCTCCCATCCTCACCTGCTTCCTCCTGCTCTCCAGAAGCCTGGCTAGCACTGGCCCCATTCTCTCCAGCCGCTTGGTTCCCACTGGCCTCTTGGCTCTCTCTGGTCACTGAATCCTGTTGCAGCTTCTGTTTCTTGGCAGCCTGGCCCTCTGCGATCTTCCCTAAGAGCTCCTGACGACGGGTCTCACGGGCCTCAGCTGCCAGGGCGCTTTGCTCCTGGAAGCCCTGCTCTTGATGGCGCTTGTAGGATGCCACAGCCTGAGAAGTAAACTTAGGCTGCAACCTCAGGATACAGGTACGCCCTCCCTGATCCTTCCCACCTCAGGGCCTGAACCTGTGGATCCCAGTCTGCCACTCCCATGTTGTCCCAGAATCCACGACTCATAGACCCCCTCCTCCACTCAGGGACCCGGAGTCCAGGTCTCCATCTACTCCCACAAGTCGAATTCGCGCCCCCAGCCCGCCCCCCTTACCAGGCTGAGTTCGCGGGGATCCGGGCGCGGGGCGCTGACCAGGGTCACAGCGCCGATCTCAGCCAGGAGCCGCGCCTCTTCGGGCATCAGCAGCAGCGGGAGGCCCAGTCGCGAGTTCTGACGGGGCCCGCGGGGCAGGGCGCCCACCGTGCGGCCCCCAACTCCTAGTCGCTCCCGAAGCGCCTGCACTGCCTCGGCCCCCCACACCAGGGAGCAGCCATTCGCCACCTCCACCACCAGCATCCTCCTGCGGGAGCCCGGGCACCTGGGTTACCAATAAAGCCGCCCGGAGCGCTCCCACCGCCTCAGGGGTCTGAGTGAAGCGCCGCCCCTAGGCCTCCCGGGGCAGAGCCTCGCTAGCCGCGTAGTCTGCCACCTGCAGAGTCGGGGGTGGGGAAGGCCCCGCCCCCTGGCGATCCCGCCAGGCCCGGGGGGCGGGAGACAAGGCCCCACCCCTCGCCGAGGCACGGGTGTCAGCATTCCGGTCTAGGCGAAGACTGTAGCAGCACCCGCCATCGTACCATCGCGCCTCCAAGAAAAGCCTCCCAGCGGGATCACGTCCCCTTCAAGCGGTCCACTTGCACCGCCCTCTCGCAAAGCAGGTGTCTCCATCCTGGAGTTCGGATCTGGTGTGGGGACCCCCACCCCGAGGCCAAGGCCAACTCCGATTGGGATGGCTTGGAACTTGGCTCCTCCCCCAGCACGAGGCCTTCCCCCTTCCCGAACTTAAGCAGTTCCGTGTGCGAGAGCCCTCGGCTCAACGGAACGAGCAGACCCGCCCCTTTCCGAACAGAACCCTGGCTTGTTCGCGCACCATTGGCTCCGGTCTTCCGCAGCCTGTGGCCCCGCATCCTCCGGCTGCCAGTGGTCCCCTAGATGGGGGAGTCCCCGCCTCCAGACCGAGCCACACAGCCGGAGGCCCCGCCCCCTGAGCACCAGCCGTCCATTCACTGCTCGGGCGGGCTCACCCCACTCGTGGGCGCGCGATCGCCTCCTCGCTTCTCTTCAAAATGTGGCACTGTCCTCCGATAGAACCAGTTAGTCAAGTCGTAAACACCTACTCGCAGTCCCAGCCGAGCCACCCCCTATGTAGCGCGCCACGCGCTGCTTCTTCCACACAACACCGCCAGGAGGCCCCCACCCTGCGTCAATTTCGTCACACCTCACCTCCGCGAAGCCGGAAGCCTGGGGCCCTCCCAGCAGGGCCGTAGCCCCGCCTTCCCCTTGAAGTGAAACACCTTAACCCCGCCCCTCGAAACGCTCCTCCTCCTGTCGACTCGGGTTCGCGACTTCGGAACTTGATACGCCTTTCCCTGGCCCCGCCCTCCTGGGGGCGTCAGCGGGGGCCCGGGGCCCCACCCCTTCCTGTAGGACGCCCTGACCCTGGGAAAGTCCACATTACCGCCTCTTTCACTTGGCCTAAGCCTGTGGCCCCGCCTCCCTCCTAAATGTGGGACGCCTGTAAGCAAACCCAGGTCACTCGCACCGAACTATCTCCGAAGGAAACCTAAGCTGTGGCCCCGCCCATCTCCGGCCGAAGCTCAGGTTCCGTCTACTTCCGAACACAGACCTTCAGTACTCGACTGCTTCCGAAGAAAACCGAAGCTCTTAGCTCCGCCTCCAAGCTGTCTCCGCCTCATTCGGAATCCCGTCCAGACCCCGCCTTCTTCCCGGGCCAGTCGCGTCCCTCGGAGCCCGAAACTCTAGAGCCTCCGCCTTCAGATCACTAAGCCCCGCCTCGTGGTGTATTTCGGCTGGTAGATCTTGCGTCCAGGTTTAGCCGCGGACGCGTGCTCCCGGCGCCCGGTGCCAGCTCTTTCCCGGCCTACCCCGTAGCCTGACGGGGTTGGCGCACCCGGCTCCGGATCGCGCAGCTCCGCCGCCCCAGAGAGAAGCGGGAACGCGCTGGGCGAGGAGGCGTGGCCGGCCCGGGTTGGACCGCGGGGCCGGGACCGCTCGGCCATCTCCTGACCAGTGGGCACCGCGGAGTCGGGCCCAGGTGGGCCCAGGTGGGCCCAGGTAGGGGAGCCGGTAGATGTGGATGGGTCGCCGTGGATCGACGGGTGACGGGGGCGGAGGCGGCGCTGGAGGGCAGCCCAGCTCAGCGTGGCGTAACCGCCTGTGGCTTCGCGGGGCGGACCTGACCCCGCTGGGTGCTCGAAGTAGGAGGTGGGCTGGGGAGAGGGCCTGAGAAGACCCTCATGGGTCCCGCTTTCCGGGTTGTAGGCAGAAGAGGGGTCTGGTGCTCCAAAAACAGGTGCAAGCTGGAGGTCTGGGCTCCTCGGAGCCCTCTCGAAGACGGGTGTGGGTGGGTCTGGAGACCTTCATGCTCGAAGAGGGAGGCTCTGGGGTACCAGAAGGGGATTCCTGGATCCTCGAAGGAGGAGGGGGTGGAGGTCTGGCCTCCGGGATTCTCAGAGAAGACGAGGGGTAGAAGTCTGGGTTCTCAAAAGTGGGGGCCTGGAGGTGGAATCCTCTGTCCTCGAAGGAGGAAGGGCCTAGAGGTCCGGATTCTTATGTTGTCAGAAAGGAGATGAGGGTAGGTAGGACTCCACGATCCTCGACAACTGGGGCCAAGGAGCAGATTCCTGAATCCTCGAAGGGGGAGGGGCTGGGAGTCCTGGATTCCTGGGTTCTCATTACGAACCTCTGCCCCTCCCCCAGGCCATGTCACCCGAAGAATGGACATATCTAATGGTTCTTCTTATCTCCATCCCCATCGGCTTCCTCTTTAAGAAAGCTGGTGAGTCAGGTTCCCTCCCCATTGGAAAGTAAGGAGGGGTGGAGCAGGGTAGGGGGAACCCCCTGGAAGGTTCCAGGCTTATGCTGTCTCTTCTCCCTGCAGGACCTGGGCTCAAGAGATGGGGGGCAGCTGCTGTGGGCCTGGGGCTCACCCTGTTCACCTGTGGCCCCCACACTTTGCATTCTCTGGTCACCATCCTTGGGACCTGGGCCCTCATTCAGGCCCAGCCCTGGTGAGGATGGGGTGTGGGGAGAACGGAGGGGGAGAGGAAGCAACCTGTTTCCTCTTTGGGTCTTTCTCCATTTCTGTTTCACTCTGTGGACACCTCTTGTTTATCTCTTGTTGCTTTGTGTCATTTGTTTGTTTGTTTGTTTGTTTGTTTTCTCTGCTGCCTTCTTCTGGGTCTTGTCCCTGTGTGTTTGTCTGGGCCCTCTACATCCATTTCATGGATTCAGGAGAAAGGAAGACATTACTGTCTGCTGGCCCCATCACCATTGGTATTCCCTCTCCTTCCCTCCCTCTCTCCCCCTTCCAGTAGAAAGCATTCACCCTGAAGCTCTCTTAATTTCTTCTCATTCTTTTCACTGTAAATACTTGTATGTGGCTATGCCTCTTCTACTGCTGTGTCAGTCTTACTCATTCTGCCCCCATTTTCTGTCTCTGAAGGTGGGGAGGTGGGGGAGGATTTGTAACTAGAATCTGGGGAGGTGGAGGCCAAGTGCCCGAGCTCAGCACCAAGGCCTCCTTCCTCTGCCCCAGCTCCTGCCACGCCCTGGCCCTAGCCTGGACCTTCTCCTACCTCCTCTTCTTCCGCGCACTCAGCCTACTGGGTCTGCCCACTCCCACGCCCTTCACCAATGCTGTGCAGCTGCTGCTGACGCTGAAGGTCAGATTCCCCTCCACCCTCCCCTGTGCCAGTTAAACCCCCAACTTTTCCTACTCCTCCCTGGGGGACAGGGGAGGCAGGATTTTATCTCCCGCACATCCGAGGGCAGGACTTCCAACTCTCAGCTCTTCCCTGGGGTAAAGAGGTATTCCGAATAACACGTGTGTAGATGCCAGATGCTGAGCTAAGCGCTCACTAACATGCCCTCCTTGCATCTTTGGGGCAAGCCATTTTGCAAAAGAGGAAGACCAGCTTTGGGGAGAAGGCCCTTATCTAAGAACATGAAACCAGGACACCCAGGTCTGGCTCTCAATCACCTGGGAAGATGGGTGAAAAGAGATTCCCAGGACCCACCCCAGTGGTGAGTTCCCACCATGCCCTAGGGTCCAGTGGCATGTTGGTGAGCAGCGAACCAGGTCTCTTCAGGATGGGAATTCAGGACAGGCAGTTGTTGCTTAGCCAGAAGAGTTGGAGGAACGGCCTTTCAGGTGCAGGGACAGCGCATGTTGAAGGGAGCGGCTGGCATCCACATGGATGGTCCAGGAAGGAAGGAGGAACAGCAGGGGCCACACCACACAGGGCCTTGTGGGCCAACGTGAGGAGTTTGGATTTCTTCTTGTGGGGGCCCAAGATCCCTTGGAAGAGATTTTTGGTGTGTTGCTGTCATGTGACCAAATTTGCACATTTGAAAATACTCTGGGTGCTTCAAGGAGATTGCAGCAGAAAGGGCAAGATGGGATGAGGTCGGGCTCCTTAATCAAAGCCCAGCTGGCAAACGGTGGCGGCTTGCTCGGCCTGTCAGTAGGTCAGCAGTCTGAGTTCCAACAGGAAATGCTGCATTTAGGAGAGCTTGAGGAGTTATCATTTACAACAGGGTGGAGGACATGGAGGAGCCAGGAGGGACAGCACAGGAATCCTGGACCAGCAGCCGGGAAGGGTTGCCAGGGGATGAGAGGGGGTACAGGAAGGGGAGCCTGGAAGGAGAAGACATACATGTGTACCGGCACCCATCCTGAGAAGATTTACCTGGAGTCATGCCAACCCAAAGTGATCCTAAAAAGGAATAAAACTCTAGCCCTCAGTCCCTCCTTCCTCCCTCTCCACCTGAGGCTCTTGGTGGACTAAACAAGAGAAAGCAGGAAGGCACAGAGCCCCTCCCTGATCCAGAGCCGGCCTTGGGTCTGTGCAGAGAAGGGTAGAAAGCAGACCTGGAGGGGCAGGCTGAGTGTATTCAGCCCGGTAGTGGGGGCAAAGCAAAAGAGAGACCTAAAGGACTAGATCTGGGGAGCGAATGGATGGTGGTCACACTGCCCAAAGGGAGAGTCTAGAAGCAGACCTGTTTCAGGGAATGGGTAATACCAGGTTCCACTGTGCACATGCCCAGTAGACAATCCGAGTATTGGTAAGAGGCAACTTGATGAATAGGTTTGGAGGAGAGAGGTCTGGCTGGGGGTACAGTTTGGGAGTCACAAGGTTGGTTGGGGATATCTAAAGCTACAGAGAGAAGGAGAGAACAGAGGAAAGACAGGTGGGCCCAAGAGTGAGCCCCGGGGAAAGCCTACCAGCAATAGAGGCACAAAAATGCCAATACTACAACCCTAGATGCCCCCTGGGGAGTAGAGCTCAGCTCCCAGCTGCACCCCAGCGTCCCTTGGCTCCCAAGAGGGGTAGCTTAAGGGAGGTGGTATGAGGGGGTGCCAGGTCTGACCTGTGCCCGCCACACACACACCCCTTCCTCTCAGCTGGTCAGCCTGGCTAGTGAGGTACAGGAGCTGCACCTGGCCCAGAGGAAGGAAATGGCCTCAGGCTTCAGCAAGGGGCCCAGCCTAGGGCTGCTGCCCGACGTCCCCTCTCTGATGGAAACACTCAGCTACAGCTACTGCTACGTGGGAATCATGACAGGTGAGTACACCTGCCCCGCAGGTCTGCCTCTCCTTGCCCTTTCTTTCCATTCCGGCATCTGCTGCTCTGAGGGTGAGCTTCTGTCTGACCCTCCCACTGGACCCAGGGCTTCTCCAGGGGAGACACGGATTGCTCCCAGTCTGTGATCCTTATAGCTTTTGGGGAGCAAATAGGAGATGAAGGAGAAAATATGTAGACTTGCTGCCCAGGGAACAAATATACACAGCTTATGGCTGCATTTTAGTATCAGAAAATATTTGTCATGAATGTTGACCTTATACAAGGCTTTCTTTTTTATGACTTTATTCAGCTGTAATTGACATATTTTCCCACGGAGAATCACATCCAGTTCACTGGTTTTTGCTATATTCACGGAATCGTGCAACCATCCCCACCACGTAGTTGTGGAACAATTTCATCACTCCAGAAGGAAACACTGCCCCCTTTAGCCGTCATCCCCCAAACCTCTTTGCAATCCCAGTCCCTGGAAACCACTGGTTAACTTTCTATTCATGTAGTTTTGCTTATCGTGAACATTTTAGGATGGAAGCGTACCACATGTGGCCTTTTGTGACATGTAAGGCTACTTACCCCTGTCACTTCTGTTTTTTGTATTATTATTATTATTATTATTATTATTATTATTATTATTATTAGAGAGGGGGAAGGGAGGGAGAAAGAGAGGGAGAGAAACATCACTGTGTGGTTGCCTCTCATGCGCCCCCTACTGGGGGCCTGGCCCACAACTCAGACATGTGTCCTGACTGGGAATCCTACCCGCGACCCTTTGGCTCACAGGGCAGTGCTCAGTTCACTGCGCCACACCAGCCAGGGGCCCTGTCACTTCTGTTAATGCCCCACTGCCCTGGCCCTAAGCCAGGCCATCGTGTTATCTGAAATAGTCTTGCATTTTCCATCACTGTCCTTCTGCTGTCCCCGCCCTGCTCAGCAGCCGAGGGGTTTCCTGAAATGTGACCAGGACTCGGCATTTCCTGCTGGAACACCTCACTGGGGTTTACTAGCGCTGAGAACAAAGCCCAGAGTCCTCCAGAGTTCCTGGGAATGGGTCTGTGTGTCCATCTGTCCCTCTCTATAATTATCTGTCCATCCTTTCTTCTCTCTGAATCCCTTGTCCTCCCCTCTGCATCCTTGTCCCTTTCACTGTGGGCCTCCTTCCCGGGTCCCCGCCAGGTCCAGTCTCTGACAGCTACCCCTGCCCCTCCCGCCACAGGCCCGTTCTTCCGCTACCGCACGTACCTGGACTGGCTGGAGCAGCCCTTCCCCGGCGCCGTGCCCAGCCTGCGGCCCCTGCTGCGCCGCGCCTGGCCGGCCCCGCTCTTTGGGCTGCTCTTCCTGCTGTCCTCGCACCTCTTCCCGCTGGAGGCCGTGCGCGAGGATGCGTTCTACGCCCGCCCGCTGCCCGCCCGCCTCTTCTACATGATCCCCGTGTTCTTCGCCTTCCGCATGCGCTTCTACGTGGCCTGGATTGCAGCCGAGTGCGGCTGCATTGCCGCCGGCTTCGGGGCCTACCCCGTGGCCGCCAAAGCCCGGGCCGGGGGCGGCCCCACCCTCCAATGCCCACCCCCCAGCAGGTCAGGCCGCGGGAGGGAGGTGACCCAAGACCCTGCAGGACCCATCACCACGGGCTGGCCCTGCCCCTAGCAGGGAGGATATTGGGGAGCACGGGGGCAGGTCCACCACCTGTTGTTGGCGCAGTGTCACCCCTGGGCCACCACAGCCCATCTTCTCCTGTCCTGGGGAACAGCACTCCTAATCCCTATAGATAATCCCTTGTTGCTAGCGCTTGCCACCCTTTGGGATGAGGGATTGCTCTTTGTTGGTAGGAGAAGGTAAGGTGATATCCTAGCAACCATTTGCCATCCCTCTGTTGCCATGGAAGTGTCACCCCAATAACCCAGTTGCTCCTGGTTGTTCAGGATGCTACCCTTGGGCAGTGATGGCTTGCTCTTTTGTTGCTAGGGAAATGGTTCATTAGGAAACTGGGCACCCCTGGTTGCTAGGGAAGTGGGTTCCCTAGCAACCTTGGTCCAATCCTATCAGCCAAAAGGGATGCTCTTTGCTGCTATGGGAATGGCAACCCCTAAACTGCCCCTTTATTGCTAGGAGCCAGCGCTCCCCACCCATGGGATGTCATCGCATAACTTGCAGGTGCCCTCTGATTCTAAAGAAATGGCATCCCTGACAGTGCTGGCCTCTAGCAGAAGGGACACCATTCCAGCAACTGTAGGTTGCCTTCTTGTGTTGCTGAGGAAGATGATCCCCTGGTAATGAAGGAGTGACATTGTTGCTAGTAATGCCACCCCTCTAGCTCCTTCAGTGCCAGGTAAGATGCACTGGTGATCAACTAAGGGCTCTCTTGTTGCTAAGGAAGTGTTGCTCCTAGGTTGCTAGGGAAACGGTACCCCTAGCAACAGAGAATGGACTGACTCTGTTCCTGGCAACCATGGTCAGCTTCAGCCAAGGCTGGGGGAGCAGCCCCTCCTCGATGTAAATTATGAAATATTCCTTGATAGGGTGGGGCCGTCCCCTCATGCATATGAACTGCCATTCCGTTTCGGTGGAGATGGCCCCCCAACATGAACTTTTTCCCACTGCCCTCACGTGGACTGGAGAGGGTGTCCTCCAGAAAATGTCAGGTGGAAGCCAAAGGCTTTTTTTCTTTTTAAAAAATGTTTTTATTTTTTTTATTTATTGATTTGAGAGAGGGAGAGAGAGAAGAACATCAATTTGTTGTTCCATTTATTTATGCATTCACTGGCTGAATCTTGTATGTACCCTGACTGGGGACTGAACCCACAACCTTGGCATACTGGGATGATGCTCTAACCAACTGAGCTCCCCAGCCAGGGCTTGACGGCTTTTCTAACCCTGCTAGCCCCACTCCGAGTGGATAGCTCCCCTCCCATTATCAGAAGCCACCAGGGCCCGGGCTGGGTAGCTCAGTGGATTGAGTGAGGGACTGTGAACCAAATGGTCGTAGGTTCTATTCCCAGTCAGAACACATGCCTGGGTTGCCCACCAGGCCCCCAGTAGGGGGTGTGTGAGAGGCAACCACACATTGATGTTTTTCTCTCTCTCCTCCCCTTCTCTCTAAAAATACATACATAAATAAATAAATCTTGTAAAAGAAAAAAAGAAGTCACTAGGGGCTCAGGTGGGACAAGGATGACCCCCACACCATGGGGGTGTTAGCACCAGTGACCCAGGAACCACTATTTTGCTGGGGATAACACTTCTTGAACAACCGTGTGGACCAATAGCCAAAGGCCCTTTCCACAAACTTTTCTAGACATTCCAGGCATTGTTGCTAAGGAATACCCTTCTCCTAGCAACAGAGACCATCCAGGCCTAGAACATTTCCCTAGCAACCATGGGCCACCTCATTGTTAAAGATGCTACTTCCCTAGCAACCACAGTGTCCGACAACACCAAAAGGACTGCACTTGGAGGTTTCTCTAAATACACTGAGCTTGGTTGCTAAGGAATGGCCTTTCCCTGGCATCGGAGATCAGTGAAGGGTCAGGTTGCTAAGGACCACTACCCTAGCAATGGGTAGCCCTTCAGGGCTTTTTCACAGGGCCTCATTTCCAAGAGAATAATTATTGATGAGGTCTGTTCCCCCTTTTCACCATCCTCCCCAAAATGGGCTCCTTGTCTGGGCTACCCTCCCCTGTTGCCCTAGCCACCTTGACACCCAGAGAGGGCTGTCACCTGCCCAGGATCCCCTCCTTAGCGTCGGGCCTGGGACAGTAGCTGGTGTCGGGAAGGGGCCTGGCTGAGTTGCATGTCTGTCCCCTACCCTCATCCTCCACCCCCAGTCTGGAGAAGGCAGCTGCCCTGGAATACGACTATGAGACCATCCGCAACATCGACTGTTACCGCACAGACTTCTGCGTGCGGGTGCGGGAGGGCATGCGGTACTGGAACATGACGGTGCAGTGGTGGCTGGCGCAGTACATCTACAAGAGTGCGCCCACCAGCTCCTATGTCCTCAGGTGAGCCTGCCTGCCCTGGACCAGATGGAGCTACATCTCCCAGCAGCACCCCGGGCCACTTGCAGCTTCTCTGGCTGGGCCTCCACCCCTGATCATCATGGGAGTTGTAGTTTCTTAAACCTCTTGTGCTTCTGCTGATTGCATTACCCTAGGAATTCTTCACTGTCTTTGGGCCTCAGTTTCTACCTTTGTAAAGACAGCCTTACTGGACAGAAGGAGTACAGTGAGTCCTGTGGACTCAATAGCCAGACTTTCTGGAATCTCAGCTCTGGAAATTAACTAAGAATCCTGGGACAGTGAGTTCTGTTTCCTCTGACACATGGGGGGAATACTGTTGCCTGTTTCATAGGCTGATATGAGGATTGAGCGAGATAAAGTGACGTGTATTTAACGTGAGGCCTGGCAGGTGAGTGCTAGCTGTATGTTGGGTTCTATCATTCTTCACTCCTCTGCTGTTTCTTGAGGAGGAGACCTTGTGCCCTCCCTTATCTTCACTACCTTGGGAAGTAGGAACTGTTATTCCCATTTGACAGATGAGGACAGTGAGACTCAGACACATTAGGTCATCTTCTGAGGGTCTCTCAGCCTCCCTGGAGACACCAGATGAGGTCAGGATACCCGATGGCACTTTGTCATAATGAAGCCCTTGGTGGTGGGAGTTCTGAAGGTGGACTTAGCTCGGTGTGTGATCTGATTTATGATCTCAAGATCGACTCTGGCCTTGTGTGCAGGACGTAGTAGACATGGAGGAAGGCAGCAGGAGGTAAAGCCAGGGGACAAATTTGAAGCCCTTGGGGCTAGTGAGTTGGGAGATGATGGTGTCCTGGAGTAGGAAACAGAGGCTGGAAGTGGATGGATTTGAGAACTGGGCTCGGGAGTGACACGGACTGGATGTGGGGCATGAGAAAGAGAGGGTGTGAATCATGACACCCAGGTGATGGGCACAAGTGACTGAGGGCAGGGCAGGGCCATTCCTGAGAAGGAGAGGACTGGGCAGGAGGAAGTTTCGGGACTGGGTGTGATAAGGAAGCAAGACTTGGTCTAACTTTGAGGTGACTGTTAGATTTCCAGCTGAGGTTATTGGATGGGCTGTTAGTTCTGTGATTCTGACGGTTTCACAGAAAGACTGGTAGAAGAACTGGACATTTGAGCATCATCAGGAATAGGTGATATTAAAGCTCGGGGCCCTGTGGTGTTTAAACCAGGGGTTCTTGACTGGGGCTGTGGCACTGCCCCCCAGGGCGCATTTGGCAATGTGCGGGGACATATTTTGTCATAACAGAGGTGCTTCTGGCATCTGGTGGGGGGAGGCCAGGGGTGCTGCTCAGCATCCTAGGATGCTCACAGGACAGTCCTACAACAAAGAACCAGCCAGTCTGAAATGTCAGTAATGCTGAGACTGAGAAAGCCCGGTGTGGACCAGGGACAAGGAGAAGCAAAGATACAGCCATGAGATTAGAGGGAAGTCTGGAAAGTGTTTATCCTGGAGGAGGAAGAGACGAGGAAACCAAACATTCTAAGGCAGCGGGAGGCATCATTTTTGTCAGATGCTTCCAGGAGCTCAGTGCAATAAAGGCAGGTGGGGCTGCTGGGCTGGGCATGATGGAAGGCAGCAACCTTAACGGGAGCAGTGAGGAGCGCAGAAGTGAAAGGCAGACTGGGTAGTTTCAAGAGAGAACGGAAGGGAGACATCAAGGAGGAGCTGAGATAGGTGTGTGGAGAGTGTCTGCTGCACAGGGAGCTGGGGAGGATGCGTAGGAAGCAGATCCGGGGGAGGATAAATCTGACTTGCCTGGCTATGAGTCCTGTCCTGTTCCCCACTCCCCCATCTCAGGGAAAGTGTCTTTAAATCCTGCCAACCCAGAGAATTCTCTCTGCACCATCAACAGGAAAGAGAAGACAGTTCTGTTCTTGAATATGCGTTAAGCCAGATTACCATGCCTATCACAAGTCACTTGCCACCAAGACAGAGAGAAATCTCACCCTTTTTACAGGCCCACCCTTAGAGTCCTTTACACAGCACATCCTCAACCAGAACATAAGTTGGCCTCCAGAAAGGGCCTCCTTTCTTTTTTTTTTTTCTTTAAGATTTTTATTTCGGGCCCTGGCTGGCATAGCTCAGTGGATTGAGCGCGGGCTGCGAACCAAAGTGTCTCAGGTTCGATTCCCAGTCAGGTACATGCCTGGGTTGCAGGCCATGACCCCCAGCAACCGCACGTTAATGTTTCTCTCTCTCTATCTCCCTCTCTTCCCTCTCTAAAAATAAATAAAATCTTTAAAAAAAAACATTGTATGTTTTTTAAAAAAGATTTGTATTTATTTTTTAGAGAGGGGAAGGGAGGGAGAGAAACATCAATGTGTGGTTGCCTCTCATGTGCCCCTTGCTGGGGACCTGGCCCACAACTCAGGCATGTGCCCTGACTGGGAATCAAAACTGCAACCCTTTGGTTTGCAGGCCCTCACTCAATCCACTGAGCCACACCAGCCAGGGCTGGATCAGGAATCTTGATCCCAGATCCCCAAAGAAGAAGTGGGTGGGGGCTCAGGTGCCCAGGTGGGGAGGAACAACAGTAATGAGAGGGGGGGTTAACTGGGTTCCTGAAAAGAGCAGAGACACCCAAATCTGAGGGAGGAGGGGCCGGGGGCCTGGACTCCTAGGTCCTGACACTCTCCCTCCTGCAGGAGCGCCTGGACCATGCTGCTGAGCGCTTACTGGCACGGCCTCCACCCTGGCTACTACCTGAGCTTCCTGACCATCCCATTGTGCCTGGCAGCCGAGGGCCGGCTGGAGTCGGCGCTGCGTTGGCGGCTGAGCCCAGGTGGCCAGCAGGCCTGGGACTGGGCACACTGGTTCCTGAAGATGCGGGCCTATGACTACATGTGCATGGGCTTCGTGCTGCTCTCCATGGGCGACACCCTCCGCTACTGGGCCTCCATCTACTTCTGCATCCACATCCTGGCCCTGGTGGCCCTGGGCCTCGGGCTGGCTTTGGGTGGGGGTGGCCTCAGCAGGCGGAAGGCAGCGTCCCAGGCCACCAGCCTTGCCCCGGAAAAGCTCCGGGAGGAGTAAGCTGCCAACACGCCCTCTGCCGGTCGGGCCAGTTGCCAAGCTTCTGCCTGGGGATTCTGTGAACCAGGCTGCTGTCTGCTTTCCCAGAAAGGGTCCTTCGCGTGGCTCAGGGCCTGGGGCCTGGGGAGGATGCCTGTCTCCACTCAGTACCTGCCTCTCACGGGCCAGGGCCACCGCCCTCCCTGGTTCCCTGCTTGCTGCACTTGCCGGCTCCAGAAAGTGTTTCCCTCCTGCAAAATCCAGACGCTGTCTAGATGAGACTGCCTTTGTCCCTGCCAAGCTTCAGGTTTTCAGAGAGCTGAACTCTGGACTCCCCCAACCTCTAGGCACAGATGGGTGAAGTCCCCTTCTCTGCTCCACAGTTGGGGGAGGAGCTCCAGGGTGTGGGTAACCTCTTTCTTGTGGCCTTTGTCCCATTTTTATGTCATCACACCGGTGTGTCAGGCCTGGAAGGGAGTATAACCTTCCATTTCACAAAGGGGCAACTGAGACACAGGTGAGCTGGCCTGGAGACCACCATTCCTGCAGCTGCCACCTGAGCCACCTGAGGGTCCCAGTGCTCCTGTAACCCTCTTGTCATCCTGTGACCTAATGGCATCCGAGTGTGCCACTCTGACCCAATAAAGTGTTGCACACAGACCCTGTATGTGGAAGTGTCTGGCTGGTATACCGACATGGGGGGATCAGGCCACCAAATCCACTGTCCTTTGTCCTGCCCCAGTTCCCAAGATCCACACTGGCACCTGTAGACTTCAGTTCCCAGGAGGCCTTTGGGAGCAGCTTCCCTGAAAGATTATGGGGAAGTGCACGCTATTTTCTCTGCTACCTGGTGCCCAGGTGTGACCTGCCCTAGGCCCCGCCCCTCCCTCAGGCAGTGCCCTCCCAGCTGGCCGCTGCTAGAGACGGAAACGCAACCGCTCCCGGGGCCATGGAAGAGAGCCTGGAGTGGGAATCTGAGACCTGGGGCTCCCCCAGAGGGTGGCCAGCAACCTGGGAGGCCCGGGCAGGTGGGGAGCAGGCGGAATCCCTCAGGCTGGTGAAAGTCCCCAGGGAGGTCGAGAAAGGAGGCCTGGTGACGCCTGGATCCAGAAGGCAGAAGGGGGAGGGGTTTTGATTCCTGGGTTTCTGGGGGAGAAAAGAACTGGAGGTTGGGAATCCAGGGTCCTGGGGAGGAGAAGGCTAGGGGCTGGGACTCAAGGTGTCTGAAGAGTGGGAGGGGCATGATCCCAAACTCCTGTATAAAAGGTAAAGGCAGCTGAAGAGTAGATTCCAGGGTAGGAGGGGCCAGGAGGGTGCACACTGGGTCTGAGGGAGGAGGGGCTGAGGGTCTGGACTCCTGGGTCTGGGGGAGGAGGGGCTGGGGACCTGGACTCCTGGGTCTGAGGGAGGAGGGGCTGGGGACCTGGACTCCTGGGTCTGAGGGAGGAGGGGCTGGGGGTCTGGACTCCTGGGTCTGAGGAATAGGGTCTGGGGGCCTGGATTCCTGGGTTCTCCCAGCCCTCTGCCCTCCTCTCCAGGCCCATCGCTGTCCTCGGTGCTGAATGAGCTCCCCAGCGCTGCTACCCTTCGGTACCGAGGCCCTGGGGTGCTGCCCTGGGGGGCACTAGAAGAAGATGAGGATGGAGAGAGGAGCATCCAGGCCTTTGCAGAAGCTGCCCAGAAGGAGCTGCAAGAACCTGTCCCTTCCCGGGAACTGCCCTGGCCCATGCAGGCCAGACGGGCACACAAGTGAGCCCCACCTGCCACTTGGACCATCTGTCTCTGCCTCTCTCCAAGCTGCTTCTCTGTGTTTTCTCTTGTCCATCTGTGTCCTGCTTCTCTGACTCCGAGGAACCCTGTGTTTCTGGGGCTTGGGACTCACTTCTTTCTCTGCCAGGTTCCCATCTTCACTGGTCTCCTCTCTTCCTCCAAGCCCCTGCCCGCCTCTTACTATTTCTGTCTGTGTCTGAAATCTGTATCAGTTTTCCCTCTCTGCTTTATGTCCTCCAAGGCTGTCTCCTCCAAGGCTGTCACCTTCTACTCCTTTCTTTGCTCTCCCCCTCTCCAGACTTTGCAAGGCCAGGGGGAAAGTACAAATGCTGGACCTCTATTATCCGGATAACAACAGAAAAACATTAGACACAGGTTCGAGGCCCTAACAAGAATGGGGCTCGTGAGGCTGCTCCTGTGGCCCTTGAAATTGAGCCTTGTTGCTTTCTATAATTCTGACACCGATTCCAACGTGTATGAGGGGTTTCCCCGTACAGCCCCAGGCAATTCCCGGATGCCAGCTGGGTATCCTACAATTCAAGTCACTTCTGACACCATCTACTTGGAGACAGCATCAGATCCCACAGGTTGGGAGCTCAGTCCCACAAATCTGTGCCCACTTCGGACACCACTCACAAGTCCATTTGTCACCTGAGCTTCTTACCAGCCAACTCTAGATCAGAGGTTCTGGCACTCCGTCCTTGGCTTTAGTTTGCTAGAGCGGCTCAGAGAAATGTTGCTCACAACCTCACACCTTTCTTTCCTTTCTCTCCATTCCTTTTTGTTTGCTTGCTTGCTTACTTTATGACGCTATTTGCCTATGGAAAAATGATGGAAAGACTCAAAGAGTTTCCCTATAGTGAGAGCCCAGGTGAACCCCACCTGCAGGGAGAGATAACATCACAGCCTCCCTGAAGCGCCCTGCGAGCCCCATCCCTGTCGCTCCCCTCTCTCCTGGGTCTGAATCCCCGAAGGGCCAGGTTCCCCTGCGCCGGCTCTGGTACTGTGTAAATAGAACCCCACAGTCGTGCTGTTCTGCCTGCTGCCCCTAATCAGCATCACGCCTTTCTTTTTATCGCTACAGTATCCGTGTTAGGAGGCTACCACAGTGCACTATCGGGCTGCATCTGGGGGGTTCCCATTTGTGGCAGCTCGGCCTTTCGTTTTACATCTCTGGCTCTGTTTCCTCCCAGGCAATGCCATGCCAGGGACCAAATGGCTCAGGGTTCGAGGTCCGGGATGGCCAAGTGGGCCCTGCTGCTTCGGAGGTCCAAGGAGAAGATGCGAGAAGGCCTACACACCTTGCAGCCCTGGGCGTGGACACTGAAGAGGATCGGGGGTGCGGTGACATGGGGCTGTAGTCTCCGGATGGGCCTGGACTCCCGGGTCCGAGGGAGGAGAGGCTGGGGGCCTGGACTCAGTAAGGACCCACGGCCTGTCTGCCGCCCCCTGCAGGTCAGTTTGGCGCGGGCACCGAGTCCTACTTTTCGCTGCTGCGCTTCTTGCTGCTTCTCAACGTGCTGGCCTCGGTGCTGAAGGCCTGCATGACGCTGCTGCCCACCTGGCTGGGCGGGGCTCCCCGGGGTCCTCCTGACCCTGGCGCTTCCTCGCCCTGCGGTTCCTATAATCCCCACTCCGAGGGCCTGATTCCCTTCTCCTCCCAGCTCTTCAACCTGCTCTCGGGAGAGGTGAGTACCTGCCCCCTCCCCCCCACGTCAGGGGGACCTTCTCCCAGCCGCCCCCCACCCCAAGTCCTGACCCCCCACCCACCAGCCCCGCGGTGACCTCTGCTGCGCCCGTCCCTCCCCAGGGCTATTTGGAATGGTCCCCTCTCTTCTATGGGTTCTACCCGCCGCGCCAGCGCCTGGCCATCACCTACCTGTGCTCCGTCTTCCTCATCGGCCTCCTCTCCCTGCTGCTCATCCTGCGCCGGTGAGTTCCATCCCGCACACGCAGACCTCCGACCCTGGGGCCGCGATGGTGGTTGAAGCCCGCTCCCCAAGAGTCTTGAGTCTCGCTCTGTAATCCTTTTCTCGCTGTTTGAGCTGAAATCCGTGTTTCAAATGCTTCATAATTGCTTAGGGCCAGGGATAACGATGGGAAGTTAGCTCCACCTGTGGCTAGTGGGGTAGGTATGCTATAAACAAAGAAGCAAACTATTACAGTTTTTTTTTCTGGAAGGGAGAAGAGCCAAATAGCAAACAAATAGCATTCATTCATTCATGCATGCATGCACACAACAAATATTTACTGAGTGGAGGCTGTGTGCTGGGCATTGTTCCAGGAAGTTGGCTGATGGGACAATGGAACAAGCAAACAAAAAATCAACAGATCATGTACTGGTGAACCTGACATCTTAGCCAGGAGACAGGTGACACACCGTAAGTCATAAAGGAGCCAATTACACGGTGTGTTAGAGGGCAAGGTTGTAACTACAACTCAGGTGGGAGATGAGGGTTGCTTGGACCAGCATGGTGACAAGTAACAAATTTTGGATTTCTTTCTTTTCAAAAGCTTTTTAATGTATTGATTTCAGGGAGACATCAAGTTGTTGTTGCACTCATTTATACATTCATTTGAATGGTTGAAAAGAATGGTTGATTCTTGCATGTGTCCTGACTGGGGATAGCACCCAATACCTCAGCATATCAGGACAATGCTCCAACCAACTGAGCTACCGCCAGGGCTGGATTTCTTTCTTTCTTTTTTTTTAACATTGAATTTTTCCAGCTGTTTTGAGATGCAATTGATATTGTAGAAGATGCCACTGATATTGTAACATTGTTAGAAGTTGAAGGTGTACAACTCATTGATTCGATACACTTGCATACTGAAATATGATTACCTTACGGGGGATTTGATACACTTACATAGGATTCCTCCATCACGTTACATAATTACCCTTTTTGTGTATGTGGGGTGAGAACATTTAAGGTCTCCTCTCTGTGTTTTTAACTGTAGCAGCATGCTGTACTTTAGATCCCCAGGACATAGTCACCTTATAACTGCAACTTTGCACCCTCTGACCAGCATTTCCCCATTTTGCCCCTACACCCCTGGTCCCTGGTAATAGGTTGTTTCCATGGCTTAGCTCTTACAAATAATGTGGCAATGAACATGGCGCTGCAGATGTTTCTCAGAGACAGTGATTTCAATTCATTTGGATGCATACCCAGAAGTGGGATTGCTAAATCATACAGTAGATCTGTTTTTAACTTTTTTTAAGGAAACTCCATCCTGTTCTCCACAGTGGCTTTTACAATTTGCAGGCCCACCGAGAGTGTACAAGGATTCCCTTTTCTCCACATCCTCATCAACACGTATCTCTTGTCTTCTTGATAACCATTCTAACAGCTGAAGGTGATATCTCAGTGTGGTTTTGATTTGTATTTCCCTGCTTGGGCACCTTTTCATGTGCCTGTTGTCCATTTGTATGTTTGGGGGAAAATGTCTATTTTTATCTTTTTTTGCTATTGAGTTGTATGTGTTTTGGATAGTAAGGTCTCCCCAGGTATATGATTTGCAAATATTTTCTCTCATTCCACAGGTTGCCTTTGAATTTTGTCAATGGTTTCTTTTGCTGTGCCAAAGCTGTGTAGTTTAGTCCCACTTATTAATTTTTCCTTTTGTGGCCTATGCTCTTGGTGTCATATCCATAAAATCATCATCAAGACCAATGTTAGGGAGCCTATCCTCCTATGTTTATCTCTAGGTGTTTTCCAGTTTCGGGTCTTATGTTTAAGTATGTGTGACCCATTTGTAGTTAATTTTGGTGAGTGGAGTAATAGGGGTGTGAGTTCATTCTTTTGCACGTGGTTATCCAGTTTTCCCACCACCATTTGCTGAAGAGACTATCCTCTCCCCATCGAGTATGTAGGCAAATATCAGTTA